CTGGAGCTCTCCTGTGATTCCTCTCTGGCTGGCCAACCTCCTAAGTCCCTCCCCGGCTCCTATCATGAACCAGTGGTCTCGCAACCCGGGACCACTTGGGGGATGTTGGAGAGCCAGTTTCGGCCCAATCCCACAGGCCAGGCTGAGGGACCCCGCTGGTGCACGAATTCGTGCACAAGGCCTCTAGTAATAATATAAAGGGCATGTACTGAAACAATATCATCGGGGACTTTCACATCTGGAAACTATTAATTAGGTAATTTGGACCAATATGCATTTAAAAAAACAAAAAGCTGAGCAGCATATTTCTAAGATGTGCTCTGAAGATATCGGAAAGCTAAGAAAGCAGTGAAGAATTATGGAGTCATCCTCCCAAAGAAAATCCAGGGATGTAAGCTCAGCTTTTGGGGCTCTCTTTTCCCCATTGGGTTATCTTTAAGAGGTGGTTGAAGATATGAGAAATTATTTTGACAGTTTCCTAAAGTTAATGGGAAAAATGGATTTCAGGAATCACCAAGGTGTGCATAGAACCTCAAAGGACAACAGCTTGAAGTAAAGTTGGATTGGAAGCAGGCTGGCTTGGCATGGGCTGAAACCCATTTTCATCTCAGCCCCTGATTACACAGAATGATCCAGAACTGATGATGCCCATGGTAAGCAAGGGAAAATTCTCTCTGGATGAAGAAACTACAATCCAGAGTCTTGAGTGATTTCCATAATTTCATAATAATATCCTGTTTTTAATAGAAAAAAATTAAACAAGAATATGGGGAAACAAAATCTAGGGAAGTTGGAAATAGACCCAGATACACTACTTTAAAATTTAAACTATTTATGGAGACTTAAGACAAGATTGAGAATTTTGGCATAATATTTCTGGAAACTACAAAAATAAAACCTTAGTAAAAAGCCTAGAAATAAAAAACTTAATCACTGAAATTAAGATTTTAAAGTATAAATTTAAAGGAGATTAGACATTGTTGAGAGTATACTAGTGACACATAAGAAGAAAATATGTAGAGCAATGCACAGGAAAAAAAAAAAGATAATATGAGATACATTATGTATAGAATGCAGGCACCATACATGTATCAATACATGGAGTTCCAAGGAAGAGAGAAATAAAAATTGTAATAGAAGAGAAAATGGGGCAATATGTAAGATAATGGCTGAAAAATTTTTAAAACTGAAGAAAAATTACAGGGTGCCTCCAAAAATGTATACACACTTTAACAGTTGATAGCTTAATTTTGAAAATGAAATATATTTCAATAAACACTACCTTTACAATTATTCAATGTATGTGTATACATTTTTGAGGACACCCTATATACCAACTACAAATGCTAGAAGTCCTATAAATAAATCCCATATATGATAAATAAAGTGAAAGTCACACATTTTCACATAATAATAAAATTACTAAATCAAAGGAGATAATGCTAAAAACGCAAGCGGGGGGGGGGGGGGGGAAGACAAATTAACTCCAGAGAAGTACAAGTAGATCAGATATTTTCAACCATTTTCATCTCATGGCACATATAAAAAAATTACTATAATCCTGCGGTACACCAAAAATATATTATATTTTTGACAAGCTGACAAAAGTAGGTATAATTTAGATTAATTCATACTGGCTGGCTATTGTCATTTTCTTGTTTGACAATAAAAAGGAAAAGAGGTCAGTACCCTGGCTAAAAAGTCAGGTATTGATAGTTTTAAAAACTTGTGGCACATCAGTGTGCTGCAGCATACTAGTGGAAAATCACTGAATTAAACTAACAGTTGACTTCAGGAGAAACATTAGATGAACAAGGAGACAGAGGATAATGAGATATCTTAAAAGTACTGAATAAAAAAACCACCCCGCCATTATGATTTTATTTCTAGTGTATGGGATGATGTTTAAGGATGAAGGTGAGACAAATACATCACTAGAAGGCTTGAACTAGAGGAAAAGTAAAAGGAGAAAGAAATGCTCACAGATGGAAGTTCTTACTTTCTTCTGACCTATCCTGATTCGCTAATACTTTTTAACTTTGTCTAATTTATGCTAAACTCATCCACTGAAATCCAGTTTAAGCTTTTGAATTTGCAATTGCAGATATAGGGGGGGAAAAATTGAGCAAAAAAGTCAAATGTGTAGGTAAATTTAAATTACTAGTGACCTAATAGTGTTTCTATAATAGTAATTCGTTACAATATATAATAATTAAACCCATGACAGCATTAACATGATCTAAAGTTAAGCTGTGAGTCACTGAGTTTCAGTGGGAATTCGCACTGGGATCTTCCGGCACTCATTTTTGGCTAATGAGCACAAAGTGTGCTTTGGGCTGAGCTTCCCAGCAATCAGGATGGACCTAGACCTCCCCTGGGCTTTCAGGTCTTACCTTGCCAACCTATTGGGCACCTTCACCGCAAGCCCGTATGAATGGCTACACCTGAGCCGCCTTTCTTAGGAAGGTGCTTTCAGCAATGCAGTAACAGTCTCAGACTGTGTGATTGTGCTGGAGGAGGTATGAAAGAGTTGCTGTACTACTTGCTAGTCATTTGAAATTTTCAAGCTTTTCTTTGTCAGTTTGTGGAGACATGAGGGGATAAGGGTAAAAATGCTGTCAAAGTTTAGAAGAGCTTGCTGAAGCCTTTATTTGCAGAGGCTTTTGAGAACTGTGCTTACATATTTCTATTTTTGCACAAAAAGTCTCCCATAGAGAAAGCAATGTCAGTTCACATGATTCAATGTTGTGGAACATTTTCTGTCTTGTGAATTTCTCCTGAGCTCAGAGTCATGTCCACCAACTGGAAAAACAAGACGCACTCAGTGACAGGAAAAGACAGAAACCAGGTAATGTTTTCTCTGTTCTCTGATGGTTTTCTCTGTGTTCCCTGTAGCACCCCTTCACCCTCATTCCCACCACTTCTCGTCATTCCTCATCAGGCACTCGGTTCCCCCTCAGTCCTCTCAACTTACCTTTATTCTCCTGGTCTGGAGGAGGAGAACATTTCTCTCTGACAGAGTATTTGTTTCTGTTACCTTAAATGTTTTGATCTGCTCCTCAAAACCACTTCTTTTTCTCCTTTTGGGAAAATTACACACTTGGATTGGGGGTGAGGACAAGAAAATCTAATAATTCTTTGGCACCTCAGTTGTTTTCAGTACTGTACTTAAGTTAGTAAGTTAAGAACTCACAACTTTCCAAAGTAATTGCTTTTAGTCTTCATGTTACACGTGGGACAACTGAGATAAGTCTGTGTGCTGTATTCCTTGTTTCTTGTGCTGAAAGCCCACATTATATCGATACCAGAAACCTGGGGATTTGGGAAGGCTGAGAGCTGAGAGCTGACTGTTACGGTTGGGAGATCAGAATACCAGAGATAGCTTTTGGGCACCTCGTGACTAAAAAATAACCCTCTATAAGCTCTTCAAACATATAGGGTCCAGAAACAAATCTTTCATTATAGTTATCCCTCCTAATTAGGTATTCTGTAGTATGTGGTAGTTCAGAGCAGGGCAAAAGACACAGCTTTGGTACATACCTTTCCAGTGGGTGAAATTTTTATCCAGTATCCTTTCTACACCTGGTGTCATGGGAGTCTAGGACATCCAAATCCCTTCCTGGTTTCTAATCAGATCTGTTCTCTGTGACTCCTCTTCTCCTGAGTCTCATCCATTCCCTTACTCGTCCACACATTCACTCTGTTTTTAAACAACACTTTCGAGCAACTCCTTTGAGGCAGTTACAATTCTAGGTGCTTCTGCATTTCTCAATCTGAGATTAACTCATCTTGGACGGCTTTTCTTTGGAAATGACCTAGCCAGCTAACTCCACCTAATTGTGACAGGAACTGAAAACATAAAGTGGCAGCATTCTCAGAGCTGTTTCCATTCCACATCTGGACTCACCAGTCTGAGTAAGAAGCATCGAGAACAGTAAAATTGTAGCAGCAGGTGAAAGTGATGATTTAATTTACTTCTGTGGCCCCTCCAATAGCTAACAGAGTCCACCTCTACCTGTGAGGGAGTCTGGCCCGACAGGATGCAATTCCAGGTTTATCCTCTGCAAGAGTTTCCTGCTTTGGCCTTTATTTCTAAGAGGGGACATTTCCTCAGAGATCAGGGAATTTCTAGTGCTAGTAGTGGGGCCCCATTTGGAGATGAGTAGAACAGAGGGGAGCTTGCTTTCTGTGCCCTCTGAAATGATAACAGGCGGTTCTCTGTCTGTATTTCATGGTTTGCTTCCTTGTTTTTCCAGCATTTTCTGCCACTGGCATACTGTTCTCCGGATGAATCCAGTCACGTAGCTAGAACATGAGTGGTGAGTAAAAGAAGAAAAATAAAATAATAACAAAAGATAATGCAATTGCCAGATGACTGGAAGTATTTAGGCTTTTACAATTTATCCATGTATTTTCCTCTTTTAGAAATCAAGGAGGAGATCTATATCAACAGGAATTTTTAAACTCCACCTTAATATAATATTTTCACACTGATATTTAAACTTATTTATCTTCTGGACTACTGGATTTTCAAAGGTTTTTCTTTAACTCAGTGTTAGTTATTGCTCAACGAGGCGAGAAGTGGAAGTACTGTGGAGTAGATTCCTAAGAGCAGCTTTAGTGCTGTGTGTTGTTTGGATAAACAGTGGGGAAGAAATCATGGTTTTTGAGAAACTGAATGTGCTGGTCTTGTAGTATGAACACAAGATAAAGAGCAAGACATTAGGGTCAAGAATCTTGACTCAAGATGGTGTGTTAATAGTGTTGAAGGGTTATCCCGAGCTGATGTAATCTCGGCTGTCAGATCACAGTTGGAAAAAAGGGTCAAGCATTTGAAAGTTAGAGTGTAGTCTATATTTACAAGTGGCATGAAGGCTCTGACAAGAGCTGACTCTGAACAGATCATACAAACGGGCATGGAGATTATGACCAGAGTATGTTTTCAAATCTGTCAGCAGTTTTTTGTGATAAATTACTTAGTATCTGGGATAGCTCTGTGCTGCTTTGTCTCTAATTAACCCCATTTCTCTTCACTGGGCAAATGTCCAGCCACTACCCCTCTTCATTTTCCATTAATGGTCTCATTTAAATACTCAGTGAATAACATAAGCCATCAGATGAGAAGCTTCCTTCCTAACACCAAATCTACTGACTTCATGCATGTTTGATGGATGGAAAAAACCTATTCTCACTTAAGGCTGTCCATGCTCTGCTTATGCTGTGACATTCACCTGCTCGAGAGACACCATTTCTGCAATTGTATCTCATTCCTTCTGGAATTTCTCTCTTTCTACTGGATTATTATCAACTGTTTACAAATGTCCTTGTGTATATTTAACAATAAAATAACAACAAGTTAACTCTAAGACATTACAGAAAGAACAATAAGTGTGAACAGGGAGTTGATCTAGCGTTGGGGTTTGGTAGAAAAGATTATAACAGGTTTTAGGAAATCTAGAGACTTAGCATTTCAGAAATACACTTTTGAGTAGGCATGAAACTTTGTGAATGGAGAATAGGGTTAAAACACTGAGATATCAGACATTAGCAGAGGCTTCCCCCAGTTTATTTCTGACATTCCCAGGAACATGCTGAAGGCAATGAGGAACCACAGTGTCATCTCTGAGTTCATCCTCATGGGGCTGTCTGCGGACCCCCAGACCCAGGCTCTGCTCTTCGTGCTGTTCCTTGTTATTTACCTCCTGACCCTGATGGGCAATCTGATGTTGCTGCTGGTGATTGGGTTTGACTCTCATCTTCACATCCCCATGTACTTTTTCCTGAGGCAGCTGTCCTTCCTCGATCTCTGCCACTCCTCTGTCACTGTGCCCAAGCTGTTGGAGAATCTGCTGTCTGAGGAGAAAACTGTCTCAGTAGAAGGCTGCCTGGCTCAGGTCTTCTTTCTGTTTGCCTCTGGGGGCACTGAGTCCTGCCTACTCACTGTGATGGCGTATGACCGCTATGTTGCCATCAGGTCTCCTCTGCTCTATGGCCAGGTGATGAACAGACAGCTCTGTATGGGGCTAGTGTGGGCCTCATGGGGTTTGGCTTTTCTGGATGCTCTCATCAATATCCTTGTAGCTCTCAATTTAGACTTCTGTGAGGCTCAAAATATCCACCACTTCTGCTGTGAGCTGCCCTCTCTCTACCCTTTGTCCTGCTCTGATGTGACTGCAAGTTTTACAGCCCTGCTCTGTTCCAGCATCCTGCATTTCTTTGGAAATTTTCTCCTGATATTTTTCTCCTACGTTCGCATTTTGTCCACCATCCTGGCCATCAGCTCCACCACAGGCAGAAGCAAGGCCTTCTCTACCTGCTCCTCCCACCTCACTGCAGTGATCTTCTTTTATGGCTCAGGATTTCTACGCTACCTCATGCCCAATTCTGGATCCACTCGAGAGTTAATCTTCTCCTTGCAGTACATTGTGATCACCCCCATGCTGAATCCCCTCATCTACAGCCTGAAGAACAAGGAGATGAAGGCTGCTATGAAAAGGATGTTGAGAAAATGTTTCTAGTGCTTCAAATAACACCAGGATGATGAGGATTCTGGGTAGAACTGCAATAAGTAGTGCATGGATATTCAAGCGAATTCTCTGATGTCAGGATCTGTAATGTGCCCTACAGCTTTTCTTTCTTTCTTTAAAAAATTTTTTAAAAATAAATCTTTATTGTTCATATTATTACAAATGTTCCTCATTTTTTCCCCCTCCATTGCTCCCCTCCACCAGGTTCCTACCCTCTGCCCTTTCCCCACCCCCTATTGTCCTCATCCATAGGTGCACAGTTCATGTTCAGTCTCTTCCCGCACGCCCTATTCTCCTTTTCCCCAAGAATCGTCAGTTCACTCCCCTTCCATACCTCTGATTCTATTACATTCACCAGTTAATATTGTTCATCAGATTTTTTAAATTCTCTTGGTTTTTAGATTCGCTTGTTGATAGTAATGTATTTGTTGTTCATAATTTTTATCTTTATTTTTTTCCTCTTCCTAAAGAACCCCCTTCAGCAATTCATATAATTCTGGTTTGGTGGTGATGAACTCTTTTAGCTTTTTTTTATTTGTGAAGCTCTTTATCTGAGCTTTGATTCTGAGGGATAGCTTAGCTGGGTAGAGTATTTTTGGCTGTAGGTTCTTGCTATTCATCACTTTGAATATTTCTTGCCATTCCCGTCTGGCCTGCATGGTTTCTGTTGAGAAATCATCTGACAATCATGTGGGTGCTTATTTATAGGTAACTACCTGCTTTTCTCTTGCTGCTTTTAATATTCTCTCTTTGCTTTTTGCTCTTGGAATTTTAATTATGATGTGTCTTGTTGTGATCCTCTTTGGATTCCTTTTGTTTGGGGTTCTGTGTGCTTCCTGGACTTGTAAGTCTATTTCTTTCACCAGGTGGGGGAAGTTCTCTGTCACTATTTCTTCTAGTATGTTTTTGGTATTTTGCTCTCTCTCTTCTTCTGGGACCTTCATAATTCTAATGTTGGTTCACTTGAAGTTGTCCCAGAGGTTTCTTACATTATCTTCAACTTTCTGGATTCTCTTGTCTTCTTGCTTCTGCGGAGGAGTGTCCTCTGGCTCTTTATGTTTCAAATCTTTTACTTGATTCTTATTATCTTCCATTCTGTTTTTAGGACTCTATATAATATTTTTTTTTATTTCAGACAATGTATTTGTTATTTCTAGTTGACCCCTTTTCAAATTCTCATAGGTCTCGTTTATTTATTGGTCTTTTCTAGGAAATTCTTGAAAAACCTTATAAGCGTGGATTTGAACTCTATATCCAGTTGCTTGTTGTCCTACATTTCTTTTGTTTGTGATATGTTTCCTTGTCTTGCGTTTTCTCAGCTTCCCTGAGTTGGTAGGGTGGCTTTTTGTGCTAAGGTGTCCAATATGGTTCAGTGGGTCAGCCTCCCAGTTACCTAAGGTGGACATTCTTGGTGTACCCCTTTGTGGACTGTGTGTACAGCCTTGTTGTAGTTAAGTCTTGATTGTTGTTGGTATCACTGGGAGGAACTGACCTCCAAGCCCATTAGCTGTGAGGATCAGCTGTGTCTATGCCAGGAGACAGCCTTATTTGACTAGACTTGGAAAATTGCAAAAGCCTCTGTGCTCAGCTTGGATGGGGTGGAGTTTCAGGGAGGAGCCTATAGCCTTGGCTTCCTCTCAGCCCCACCCTATGAGGTTCCTGAGTCTCGGTGTTCCTCGGTGTCTTTCGGTACTCGCTACAAGCACCTCTGAGAGAAAGGTGCCCTTGAGTTTCGCCCGCTACCAGACAGTCTAGTCTTTCCCCCAATGAGCCCAAAACGGGGGTTCAGTGCAGTTGGAAGTGGCGTTGGAAGTGAAGTTCAGAGCAGTCCTGAGCTTTTGTCTCCTTCCTGCTAGGGCAATCTGGCAACAAAGTCAACAGTCTGTCCTCTACACGCAACCTGTGCGCCTCTGCCTCCGGGACTGCTTTTTGCTGCTCCCCTGAGTTTCTGCCTTACAGCCCAGATTCCCTCTGTATGAGCCTGGGTCATACAGGTGAGGAAGGGTGGTATAGCAATTATTCCTACAAAAATATGGAATTTATTATACACCGTATGGTAGATAATTTTATTATACTCTATCTTTGCCACTCTTCTAACAGCTAAACTCCTTCTGCTCAATATGGTTCCATAGAGACTATTATATTACAATAATCATAGATTCTGTTAATCATGGTGACCGCTAGTTCTCCCTGTCCCTGCTCATTATTCATTCTTCCTGGCACAGTGTCTGGTACATGGTCAATGTCAGACCATTCACTCTGTAGGAATTTTAATGAGGAGAGATTCAGAGAGGCAAAGGTCAGCCATTCTGTTTTGCAGTACTTTGATAGAACAATCCCAACGGCCCACTGATAAGATCACTAGTGTTATCCAAGATTCTGCCTTTTCATGGAAGATTTATAAACATGAATTATAATAAGAACACATGATCAGACTGAGCATTTTACGTACATGATCCATTTAAATACTCCAAGTGCTTTAGGGAAATGCTTTAGTTATCGTTATTTTAAGAAGAGGGAGGAAACTGCCTCTGAGAGGTAAGTGGTAGGGATGGAATTTGGAACCAAATGGACTTACACCAAGTCTTAATTTTTTTTTTATTTATTTATTTTTTTTTTTACCATCTTGCCACACTGACTCTCCCCTTGATGGTGTGTGCTTCCCCAGACCAAATTCATGAATTCCCTCTTTAATTATTGTTGTCTTAATTTCCATTGTTTAGGCAAGTCAGAATTATATTCTGTCATTTGCAAGGAAAAGACCTAAAAGACATATATGGGTGCCACCATGGAATTGCAGATATAGACATCTGAGGACAATGGAGAAATTTGAAAATTTTTGTTGGATCTATGCATGTCCAATGGAGACGACAAATAGAACATTTGTTTATTCTGCTTCAAACCATTTACCTAATCGCCAAATTCCTGTGAGGGGGTTCCATGACAAGAGAAGATTCCCCAGCTTATGCGCACTGCTAGACAAGTTGCTTTGCTAATCAGCCCAGTGATGCTGTAGAAATGGCAGAACAGGAGAGCATCAATAGCAGAGCAAATGCTGCATAAAGCCAGTGGGAATTCCTAAAGGAACTAATAGAATTTCAGCAGAGGTCCCTTAGTTCATGAAACACAATTGGAGAATTAGTGTGAAGGAGATTTGGGAGAGATGTGTGGGTGAAAATTATGCAAAAAATCATTGTCCTTTCCAATCTGCCATCTGCAATGGAGTCACCACCAGGATGCAGATTTTCATGAAAACCCTTACGGGGAAGACCATCACTCTGGAGGTTGAACCCTCGATACAAGAGAAAATGTAAAGGCCAACATCCAGAATAAGAAAGGAATTCCCTCTGATGAGTAAACTAATTTTGGCTGGCAAGCAACTGGAAGACGAATGTACTTTGTCTGACTACCCCATTCAAAAGTAGTCCACTCTTCATCTTGTATTGAGACTTCATGGTGGTGCTAAAAAGAAAAAGGAAGAAGTCTTACTCCCAAGAAGAATGAGCATAAGAGAAAGAAAGTTAAGCTGGCTGTCCTGAAATACTACAAAGTAGTAGATGAGAATGGCAAAATCAGTTGCCTTTCTCTGGAGTGCCCTTAAGATAAATGTGGTGATGGAGTTTTTATGGCCAGGCACTTTGACAGACATTATCCTGGCAAATGTTGTGTGATCTATTTCTTCAACAAACTGGATGACAAGTAATTGCATATGGTTAATAAAAGACATGAACTAAAAAATAACAAAATTAAAAAAAATTATTTCTTTTTGAAATTACCTTTTAGTTTTTGCTTATTTACAACCTGTCAACTATCATTGTCCCCTTAACTTTACACTCTCCAGCCACAGAGAATATAAACTCAAAGAGGTCAAGAACATTTTTTTTTTTTGGCTTCTGCACTACATTTTTGAGAATATTATAATTTTAAAAATATGCTTTTTGCACAATAAGTAAATTTTGAATATGTTAATTATGGGCAAAGAAATGAGAATATATCTAGGATGGAGTCTCACCAGAGGGACCTCACTGCCAAAGCAGTTGGAATAATTATATGAGCAGAATAGTCTACTATGTGATGCAAATCTCTTTCTGTGAGTCTAGTTCTGGGTCATGGACTCACAGTTTGGCCAGGGCTGGGCAAGGTTATAGTTATTCAAAGGTTCCACAAGATTGTCATGCATGAAGGAAGTTCTGCTGTTGCCACTGGTGAAATTTATTTGGATAAAGGAAGTATGAAACTTTTGTTAGCTATATTACCAAATACATTCTAGCTTTTGTTTCTATTATGAATTACAAATTCAACTGCAATTATTACTTGTACACTGACCTTGTATCTGTCAAGTTTGTTGAACTATTTTCCTAGTTCTAATGGGTTGTTTATAAATTCTATTGGATTTCTAATTATTTTATCTTAAATAAAATGAAATTAGATATTCATGTTTTATCTTAAATTACATTTCACATTTTAATGATTTCATCTTAAATAAAGGTAAATAATTTATTTGTCTATGTAATTTGTAGATATTTTATATTTTACAGTTAATTCACTTTTTAATGATTTAATCTTAAATAAATGGAAATAATTTATTTTCCTATGTTTCATATCTTAAAGTTAATTCACTGGCCTGGACCTCTAATACAGAAATCTTTTTTATTGGGATCAGTGAGAAAGTTTCTCATGTCTCATCATTAAGGATAATGTTTGTTCTGTTTTTGATCAATTTTGACTTAGTACAAGAGCTCTCTTCTAACCATATTTTGCTGAGAAATGATGTAAAGTTTTATCAAATGTGTTTTTTATTTCTATTGATTACCAGTACTTTCCCCCTTTTGTTTACTAATATATAGTGTCTGTCACATAATAAGCATGTGATAAATACCTGTTTACTAAAAAATAAATTTATCAAAAATAGTCATATGGTTTTTATTATTTGACTTTTAAAAATATATATATTTTTATTAATTTCAGAGAAGGAGGGAAAGGGAGAGAGAGTTAGA